CTCGCTCGCTCTCTCTCTCTCTCGCTCTGACAAAATGCTAGACTCTGCAGAGACACAAGAGGCGATCATCGCAGCACTCCCAATGCCTGAAGACAACGAAAGGTTTCAGAATCCCGTACCCCATATATAACCTTTAACTCTCGTGCAGACCAGCCCCTGGGTTCCATATTCCTTTTTTTTTTTTTTTTCCCTTTTCTTCTTTACCTTTTGTAAACCCCCTCAGACGACCCCCCTCCACCCTTCCTCTGATCAATTACCCCAGCGCACCCCTCTCTTTCCTACCTTAGTGTGGACCACCCAGGACCATCACCCTGGGTTCCATATTCGTCTATCATCCCTTGCACTGCAGATTTCACTCTAGCGGGTATGCAGTGAACCCCTACTAAACGGTCACCCTTCACGAACAACTCAACTGGTGTCACTAGAATTCAGCAGACGACCCCCCTCCACCCTTCCTCTGATCAATTACCCTGGCACACCCCCCTCTTTCCTACCTTAGTGTGGACCACCCAGGACCATCACCCTGGGTTCCATATTCGTCTATCATCCCTTGCACTGAAGTTTTCACTCTAGAGTGAACCCCTACTAAGTGGTCACCCTTCACGAACAACTCAACTGGTGTCACTAGAATTCAGCAATAAAAATATGCCTAACATTGTTCTCCTACATGCTCCAAGCCCCCACCATATTGTCTTACATCCAGAATAATAATCTCATCAGGTCGTTAATGCCAGTTCAACTTTCTTTGAACAGCAGAATTGCGTGAAGAACCAGCTGCAGGGCACCTCGCCTACACGACGGCCCTTGCGTTTCCTCCTGAAAGGAGAATCAGCTCTATCAGGTTCACAAGTACATCAGGCAAAAACTTCTGAGATGAGCATCATGCCTCGCTCCTCTCCTCATTGGCTGGCAACGACTAATGCACATACTTGCATTTGGGATTTGGGGGTTGTAAGCAATGTGGAGGCGAGTGAGACTTGCCGTATGCACACCACTTCTGAGGTCTATTCCCACTCCTCTCCCCATATTTGGCACTCGCAGGGAAGGCACTGTCGTTGTTTCTCTGTTGAGACATCACAAGCGAGCACTGGGCACGAGGCAACATGACAGCACACCGCTGATACCAGCCCTGGCAGCCGATATTGTAATGGCAGTAAACACGACTCGAAAGCAAAATGTCTCAACGGCAGTAAACATGAACCAGATGACCTTTCACGGCTACTCCGGCAAGTGAGAATAACTTTTCTTCCCTTTTTTTTGCATCCCTGTGATGGGAAGTTCTTGTCGTGTAGGCAGGCCCACCAGCATCACACTTGCTGATGTCGTTTCTTGCAGCTCGTCGTCTCTTCACACATACACACCCATCATCATCACACACACACACACACACACACACACACACACACACACACACACACACACACACACACACACACACACACAC